GGGCTGGTGGCCCCGCGCAGGCAGGGCTAGGGGTCAGCGGGGAGGAGTATGGGCCCCGGCTGCCCCATGGCTGTGAGGTCCGCATTCTGGAATTCAAACTGTCTTTTGTGTGTTAATTTTTACACGGGTTTCTTTCCTGGGCTGAGGTGTGACACTGCAGAGCAATGGAAGGGTTAATGCATCCACAGCCTGAAGCATTCTGAGGGCCCGTGACGTGGTCCCTGCTCGGCATTTAAGAGGAAGCAGAGACTGTCAACCTGCAGATGTGCGCAGGGGATGAGCTAAAGGGTTACCCCCACTTCTCCCCGGACGGCGGGTCCCAAGGTCCCGAACTCAGTGCCGTTTGCTGGGTGCTCCCAGTGCCCCGTGTGTGTCGTGTGTTCCTACCAGCACCCGTTCTTGGTCGGGGAACAGAGAGCAGGCGTGCAGTCTGCTCGTGGTCCCGCGGCGGAGCCTAGAGCTCGCAGTGTGAGGTTAGACTTGTGCACATCACAGGCGGATCTGCTGACCTGGGGCCATCTTTGTAGAAATGAACGTGTGATGGCTAGTTACCAGGTCTCATGTACCGGGTGTTTCATTACAGGGCAAGGCCAGCGCACTGCCCATGGCTTCAGTTAGTTCAGACATAATCGGGCTCCCTCCCTGGGGAGCGACATTAAAATCGGACCCTAAAGAACAGAGGGTGCCAGGTGGGCGGGGGAGGCGGTCAGGTGCCAGGGCTGCCAGGTGAAGCATCAAGAATTGAAGAGTAGCAAATACTCCTCTTTGGTTAACAATGTAGTTTTCTTCTTTTTTAAAAATCGATTTCAGAGAGGGAGAGACAGAAACATCAATGATGAGAATCATTGATCGGCTGCCTCCTGCACCCCCCCAATGGAATCGAACCCCAAACCCGGGCCTGTGCCCTCCTGGTTCAGAGGTTGATGCTCAACCACTGAGCACACGGGCTGGCAGGGGGTAGGAACCGAGAAAAGGCACTGGGTCGACGGCAGAAGCCCGGTCGGGGGCAGCAGCCTGGTGCTTGGACTTGAGTGGACTGCCAGGGCCGGGCGGCAGGCATTCTGACCAGGGAAACGGACTGGCCACGGGAGCTCAGTTGGGCTTCGGAGAGGAGGCTGGCAGAGGACCCGCATGGGGACAGAGAGGTGTGTGGACAGACCTGAGGCCATGTGCGTTCCACCAAAGCCCCTGGCACCGGGACCCGAGGGGTGAAGAGGAACCCCAGGAAGGACTTGGGGAGCAGGAATTAATACAGCTGTTGGGGAGAATCACTCGCAGAGGCGGGAACAGAGGGGCCTGGTGATCTGTCTGGAGACAAGCACATGGGAGGCCCAGACAAGCTGTGCCTCCTGCACACGGGGCCGCCTTTCCTTGGTTCACTCCTTTAGTTGGATGCTGACAAGTACGAGAACGACCCAGAGCTGGAGAAGATCCGGAAGGAGAGAAACTACTCCTGGATGGACGTCATCACCATCAGTAAAGAGAAGCTGCCCGACTACGAGGAGAAGGTCAGGAGCTCCGGACGGTTTGGAGAGGGAGTCGTTAGACTCGCGGCCAGCAGTTTTTAAATTTTTATTATTTTTAGACTTTTTCTTTTACTGTTTCCATTTGGATTTTATATCAGAGTCATGCATATTTGAATTTTTTATTAATAAGATATTAGGGGGAAGAGAAAAGTAGATTTGAAATAGAAATTCTTTAAGAAGGTGACTACCTTCAACACATTTTCATGTGGCTTTTGTCCTTCCAGTGAGCATGACTGTGCCTATAATCATGTAATTGCACGTGTGACCCTGTGATGTGACTAGCATGACTACATGTGATCATGTGACTGTATCATCGTGTGACTGCCGTGTGGGGTGGGTTATGAGCAGGAGCCAGGGTATCTGGGAGTGTCGGCTCTGCACCCGCAGGCTGTCGTGGGCCAGCGACCTCGCCTCTGCCACAGGTCCTGTCTGTCAGTGGGGACCAGAGAGCACCAGGCACTGCACACGGGAACTGTTGGAGCTCTGCCTGGCACGGGTGGTGCTGTCGGTGTGAACCCTTTAGGTGCTGGCTGGCCGGGAGGACTCATAACACCCCAGCTCCCCCTACACTTGCTGTAATGCCCCGACTTTCCTGGGAGAGTTCTGCCCACTTAGCTCTGTCACTGAGGCTGGTCTGCAGGCGACTCACCGTGTCCCTCGTGGCCTAGATCAAAATGTTCTACACGGAGCACCTGCACCTGGACGAGGAGATCCGCTATGTCTTGGACGGCAGCGGGTACTTCGACGTGAGGGACACGGAGGACAGGTGGATCCGCATCGCCATGGAGAAGGGAGACATGATCACCCTCCCCGCGGGGATCTACCACCGCTTCACGCTGGACGAGCAGGTGGGACCGTGTGGCTCGGAGGCGGGAGGGTGGGATGTGACTGACAGACAGACGTGGGAGTTAAGGCCTCGACGGCCGGTCTCACAGGGCCGTGTGCTGTTCTTAGAACTATGTGAAGGCCATGAGGCTGTTCGTGGGAGAACCGGTGTGGACGGCGCACAACCGGCCAGCGGACCACTTGGAGGCGCGGGGGCAGTACCTGGCGTTCTTGGCGCAGAGGGCATAGGGTGCCCTGAGCCAGCACACACCGGCCCCGACGGTCCTGGCGTGACAGCGGCAGGAAACCTACCGTGTCCTCCTCACTTTTCTGTCCCTCCGGGAGGTTGTCTGATCAGAGTCCATTTTAGTGGAAGGAGCTGTAGCCTGATCTAATTTTTACGTAGAAGCCACTGTGGGCAGCCTCGTCTCCACTCCCATAGCCGTGTGCCGGCACCCGCGCTGCACTCGAGCCGCGTGTGCCGTGTCCCTGCCGGGCCGCCCCGTTGGGACCTGATGCGAGACTTGCTGCAGATTGCCGTCAAGACCACGCCGCCTGTGCACAGGTGTAAGCAGGTGACAGGACTCTTCTCCCACTGCCGGGGGCGTGGGGGGCAGCCCTCATGTTAGGGGGACTCACGCCACTTTCTTGTTTAAAACAAAGCAGCTGCCTTGCCTGGCCAGTAGCTCAGCTGGTTAGAGCACCATCCCAATACATGAAGGATGTGGGTTCAAACAAGACTCCGCCAACGAGCTCATAAATAAGTGGACCAGCCAGTGGGTGTCTCTCATCAATAAACTTTAGAAATAAGTAAGCAGCTGTCTCCTTTCATGCCTGGGCTGGAAAGCGCCGATGGCGAGACGATGGGTCCCTCTGGGCTGGGAGGAAGGGTGTTGTCCCGTGGTGTCCCCTGCACAGTTACAAATGCCCCGACGCCCAGGCGTATGGGAACAGTTTATAGTCCATCTTCCCACTCTCCTCTGAGGACGTTCAGAACTGACAAACCAAGTAGCCCCGCCTCCAGGAGTCAGCAGCACGAGGCCCCGACACCCCAGTCGGGAGGGTTAGCGAGGCCTCACGGGACCGCCAGCCCCGCCCGGTGGCTCCCGTGCGCAGTTCCCAGGAGCCAGAGCCTCGGCGTGTGGGGCTAGGCCAGCTTGAGGCACTGCGTGTTGAAGCTGTCGCCCTCGCGGCCGGCGACCGCCTCGAGCAGCGCCTGCTTCTTCTGCGCGCTGCGGGAGGACTCGAGCTCGTACATGGTGGTCAGGTTGAAGAGCACGCTCTCGTGCAGGCAGTGCCCGGGCTCCTGCTGCACCAGCGCCTCCAGCTGCCGCAGCGAGTCCTTGAGCCGGCCCAGGTACAGCAGGCACACGGCCGCGTTGTTGTTGGCCTGGAGGACGGGCGTCAGACTGCTGTGCCCAGGCGTGCGGCCGGGACCCCCACCCCCTCAGAGGACGGGCGTCAGGACTGGGGATGTGCCTGGGGCAAACTGGGGCGTGCAGGGCCGGGGTCCCCACCTCCCATGGACACTGCCCAGGCCAGAGGGCCGGACAGGGGCCCCAGGTGTGAGCCCACATCTGCCGAAGCGTCTTACCACTGCATTTGTGGGGTCAATCCTCAAGATCTCTGTGAAGAACCTGTGGGCTTCTGCGAAGTTGTTCTGGCCGAGGTGAAGGAAAGCTCTGCGACAGAAGCGACAGTAAAGCGTCAGCCTCCCAGGCAGAGGCCCGGGCGATGTTCCCCTCGCGCGACCTCGAGCCGGACAGCGGTCGGCCTGTGAACTGAAGGGTCCCAAGTTCAATTCTGGTCAAGAGCATTTACTGGGGTTGCGGGCACATCCCCAGTGGGATGTGCAGGAGGTGGCTGACCGATGTCTCTCTCATCGATGTTTCTAACTCTCTCTCTCCCTACCTCTCTGTGAAAAATCAATAAAAACTATATTTAAAAATAAAAAGCGGTCTAACCGTTCTTAATCCCGACATGGCTCTGCGCCTACACTTCCTGCCTCAGCTTCTCTCTGCTCCCGAGGGAGCATCACCGGCCTCACGGTGCTATGGGTGTTGGCCCTTAAGAGCCACCCCGGGATACAGCTGGTGCTATGGGTGTTGGCCCTTAAGAGCCTCCCCGGGACACAGTGGCGGGCGCTGGGGGGAGTACATACAGACGCTAATTTACGTGAAAAATGGGGGCAATGTGAATACTCTGAAAAACAAAGAAAAATGCTTAAAGTCAATTCTTGCGGCTAAAAGAATGACGGTGATTCAAGAAAACCCGTCCACTCCTGGGGCTGTGACTTGTTCCGGTTCTGAGACCTGGACGGGGCCGTGTCCTGAGGGAGCTGCGGGAAACACTGTGTGAACTCCGTACCTGTTCATCAGCACCATCATCTTCCCCTGCGGCTCGTCGAGCTTCTGTGTCACTTTCTCCACGTCCTGAAAATACTTCTCGGCCGTTTTTATGTCTCCAATCTGCTCTGACAGAGCCACCAGTCAGTTCAGGTGGCAAGTCTGCAGCCACGCACAGCTCAGCGCCCGGCGCCACGTCATGAAGACACTCGTGTCGAGCCGGGGGACTCTAACCACTCGCTAAGTACCACTTCCTGCTAAAGCTGCCAGAGACGGTGGGATGCAGTGGGTGGACTCCCTGCGGCCGAGTCGAACCTAACACACGGGCCACGCTAGATGTACGGTCTGCAGTCTACACTTTCTGAAAGAATCTTGGCATAGCAAAGTTACACAGAATAAAAATAAAATTAAAGACTAAAATTAAAAGTATAACAGGGACAGTGTGAACTGTGGCAGCCCCATCGACCTTTCTGGTTGTCTGTGACCAGTGAAATGACAGACACTCACTCCCCGTGCGCCTGGGCCCTCGAGTTCTTTGTCCCACGAGCTAACTTCTCGGTTCTGCCTTAGCTGCCAGAGTCCCTGGGGATGGTCAGTGACCCTGGCCTTCCCCACATGCCTTCGCGGGCAGTGCCCACCTGAAGGAAGATGCGGCCGATGCCACTGAGCAGCTGCGGCTCCTGCTCGGGGTGGAACTGGATGACGGAGCGGTAGGCGTCCACGGCCAGCACGTAGTCCTGTGGGGAGCAGTGGCTGTCAGGTGAGGACTGGGCTCTGCCCAAGGCCCCGTGGACCCCGTGTGGAAGACACGGGGACACATGCCTGGTAGGAAGCAGGAGGCCCAACAGGAACCCCCGCCCACCCAGGGCGCCCGCCTTGCCCGCCTGCAGGCCTCTGTGAACCTAAGGGGAGGCAGTGACATTTAAAGAGGTGAGCCCTGGCTGGTGCTCAGTGGTTAGAGCATTGGCCTGCACACAGAAGCTCCCAGGTGAGATTCCTCATTAAGCATGTACCTGGGTTGCAGGTTCATTCCCCGTCCTGGTCCGGAGGCAACCAATTAATGTGCCTCTCGCACACTGAGGTATCTTTCTCTCTCCCTCCCTCCCTCTAAAGCAGTGGTTCTCCACCTTGGCTGCACATTACAATCACCTCGGAATCTTGTTAAAATCCTGATTTCTGGGCCTCATCCTCCGGAAATTCTGTTTCTTTGTGATGGGGTGGGGCCACAACATGAGTAACAAAGAAACAGAATTTCCGGAGGGCGAAGCCCAGAAATCAGGATTTTAACAAGATTCCCAGGTGATTCTCATGTGCAGCCGAGGCTGAGAACCACTGACCTAAAGCAGTGGAGAAATACCTCCAAATGAGGATCAACCAACACAGTGAGGCGAGCCCTGGCCGGTGGCTCAGTAGGTGGGAGTGTCGTCCTGAGCACCAACAGGCTGTGGGTTCCACCCCTGGGGGCAACCGATCGATTCCTCTCTCCCACTGATGTTTCTCTCCCTCAAACCAACAAACATACCCTCAGGTGAGGATAAGATGATAATAAATAAAATAAAGTGAGAGGAGGACTCTCCCAGCCCCGTGCCACATGGCTGTGCGGGAGGGCGTGTGCAGACACTTGGGCGGGAGCACACGAATACATTTCTCATTGTTGAAACGTTGGATTAATATTTATTCGGTCATAGAAATATGAATTCGGTTATTCAAAATCATTAAGTGCTGAGGACATAACCTGTTAGCCCACACACATCACTCAGTTCATGTGACACCACGCGGCAGACCCCGGCCTGCGCTGCCGGCACGGCCACCAGAGGGACTCAAAGCACGAGCCTGAGCGGCCCTGAGGGCAACAAGGGTCCCTCTGTAAGCCCGAAGGAAAGGCTAAGCTGCAGTTCCAGTCCCTCTTCCCCGACAGCATTCTGAACCCCGACACCGCCCACACCCCACCTGCGGGCGGGCAGGAGGCACGTCTGTGCCGAGGTATTACGACGATACAACAAAGAAACGCGTTTCGTCCCATAATTTTCTGTTCGTGTCTGAAAATGCAGAAAAGCCTCGAGTCTGGGAACAGTGCCTCCCTCCTGTGGGTTTGGCCCACGGTGAGCGCAGCGTCTGCCTGTGACCTCAGGGCTGCGCTGGTTTCTCTGCGCTGGGACTTCCCGCGGAGCTGACAGGGCCGCAGGGCAGGGGCAGCCGGGTCAGAGCTGCTGACGGGGCAGGGGTGGGGAGTGGCCTGTGGAAGGCAGAGGGGCAGGACGCAGCCTCGGGGAGCAGCTGGTCACTGCGGAGGCTGTGGGCTCGGGGCCACCTGCCCACACAGCCCAGGGCAGGTGCGGCTGAGGTGTGACGGGACAGGGACAGAACCAGCAAGGCCGGCTGCGGCCTCTGAGGACACGTGAGCCTGAAGGGAAACAGCTGTGAGCGACAGTGCTCCTCACCCCCACCCCCACCCGTCCTCACCACCACGCTGGGGCTGGCTCCTCCAGCGGTCCCGGCCACTCCTCTGTGACAGCGGATGAGCGGCTGTGGCTCTGAACTTACCCCTGCTCCCAGTCCTCCCCGCGCCCACATGGAGGGTCCACAGCTACATCGCGGCGGCCCGCAGGCATGGAGCACCGCGGTCACGCTCCTCCACTCCGTAAACTGCCTGCACTGCAGCTCGGAATGACCTTGGGGGCCGTGGGGGAGCCCCCACCACTCATCGGGGCCCAGCCGTGGACAGCGAGGCTGCTACCTTGTGGCTGATGGGTTCCTGCAGCAGCTTCCTCAGCCCCAGAGCAGGTCACCCTGGGGCAGGTTTGAGCCGGGCGGGGATGGGAGGGGGATGGGGAAGGGGCTGCAGGTCCCCACACAGGGAGAGGCCCCAGGACAGGCTGTGAGCTGCAGGGCCTGCCCGAGGAGGGGACTGGAGGAGACAAGGCCCCCCCATCCCAGGTGCAGCCTGGCCGTGCCCTGTGGTTGGTAAACTGTCCCCTGGACCGGGCGCAGTGTCCTGGCACCCAGCCCATCACCCCTGGTCGAGAAGGCCCTCTCCCACAGGAGCACAGAGCCACCTCCGGGCGGAACGCAAGGAGAGCACGGGGACCGAGGAGGGCACACGTGTGAACCATGATTTAAACTGAATCACCAGACCCACGTGTAACAATTACTCGGGACGAGGAAAACGCTCCGTTCTGTGGAATTTCTCGCACAGAAGTCACAGCACAAGTGGAGTGTGTTCCTGCTGTGCGGACCCTCCGCGTGCGCCCAGCCCCACGCACCTTCATCAGGAGCAGGCAGTTGGCCATGGAGCAGGTCACCCGGCCCAGGCGGGACCGCCACAGCTGCACGGAGGCTGCAAGAGAAGGCAGTGAGTGAACGCGGCGCCGGGGTGGGGCCCGCACTCCCGAGGCCTGCGCTCTGGGCTCCGGGAGGAGGCCGCCCTGGAAGGGAGACAGCAGCAGAGGCAGGGCTCCGCCTCGGGGGACAGACCACAGGGCCACCGTCAGCACCCCGAGAACTCCTCACCGTGAAAGGGGGGGAAGGCCTGCTGCCCATGGCCCGTGCGAGGCGCCCCACGGGGTCAGCACTGGGCTCCGCCTTCCCCAGGTCCCAGGCCTGTTTCCTACCTCCTCCCGCTCCACAGGGTGGGGGGGGCGGGGGGGGCTTTGTCACCTCACGCCCCACCTGCCCTGGGTCCAGACCCTTTCTCCCCTCTCTTCACGGAGTCCCAGGCCGAAGGTCCCTAGGAGCTGCCCTGGGATGAGGGGAGGGCTGATTAAGGGACAAGGAAAAGGGGTGAGACCACAGGACCAGCGGGCTGCGCGCAGGAGGGAAGCCGCACGGACCTTGCCTGTTCTCGGGCGAGATGCTGCTCATGCTCCCGTCCTCGGCCAGGCCTTGCTCCAGGTGGGCCAGGATCTGCAGTCAAAGAGAACAAAGCCCCGCAGGCGGGCCTGGGCCTGGGCCGCCACACCTGCCCCCTGGACCTTTCCCACACACCCCGTCCCGCTCGCTGCCCAGCACCCAGGTGGCGGCCACCTGCAGAGCAGAAGACTCGGAAGTAAAAGGACAAGATGACCTTGAACCGCCCCCACTCCACCAGCACACGGTGGTGTCTTTCCTTCAGTGGGTCTGCCGCCTGCAAGTTAGGGTTACATCACCATCCCCCACCTGTGGCTGTGGGGCTGCACCCTCCAGGAACCCCATACCAGTTCCCCCAGAGCAGCTGGGACTGAGAAGGCCCCTGAGATACAACCTCATTTCTCTAACAGCCGGAAGCTGCTGCTCCTGCTGGCGTGCTGTCTAGTCTAAGCTCCGCACACGAGCTCCACCCCAACCGCGTGCACTGCTCCCTCGAGCCACATGCCCTGCGAGAACTGAGGACCAGCGCTGGGAGGCAGGCGGCGGCCTGGGAACGGAGCACTGGCCCCCTGGTCTTCCTAACGTCACCAATGGAACGATCTCATCGCCACACAATGTTACTTCCCATTCGGGCGATTCGGGGGGCACTCTGGCCGGACTGTCCTGGGTCAGGGGTGCAGGTGGCAGGGTCAGGGCGATGTGCCTGGGCGCTGAGACCTCAGACCACTGCTTAACGCTGCCCAGGACCTGTTTGGCAGCACCAGGCACTCAGGGCACTGCAGGAGCTGGGGGCCTGGTACGCGTCCGAGCTTCCCCGGTGCCTGGGCACAACTCGCAGGTGACTTCTACGACAGAGCTCTCCTGCTTCCCCCACAATGCCACTGAAGACCGAGGACTTCAGGACTCCAGCTCCCCAAGCCTGCCCCCTGCCTGCCATGATGTCAGCGAGCAGACAGCACAGGGTCCCAGCAGGCCAAGCCTGCCTTCCTGAGGCAGCAGGGGCGACAGTGGGCACCGGGGAGGGACCGGGGACGGGGAGCCTACCTGGCTGCAGACAGCCTTCACCCGGTGCAGCCGGTCCAGTGACTCCTGCGGGTTCCCCAGGTACTGCTGCAGCTCCGCGTGCAGGATGCGCATGGAGAAGGGAACCATGGAGCCTGCGGCCAAGGCCAGAGCGTCAGCCGGTGCCATGAAGAGCACGCCCTGCCCCCCGCATGCATGCGAGCTGTGCAGACCCCCCACAGCGGGCACCACAGGACCGCCTGGCACTGTCAAGTTCCCCGTGGTGCCCACTGCAGAGTGTAAGCATGTTCTAGCAGCAGTTCTCAACCTGTGGGTCGCCAACAATGAAAATACATCCCGCATATCAGATTTTTACATGACAATTCATAACAGGAGCAAAATTAGAGTTATGAAGTAGCAACGAAAATAATGGTTGGGGGTCACCACAACATGAGGCGCTGTATTAAAGGGTCGTGGCACTAGGAAGATTGAGAACCGCTGCTAGTGTGTCCTAGTAAGCATGCTCCAGGCATCAGGGGGCCGGGGTGTCTCCTGCAGCCGTGTAGACCGTCCTCCAACAACGGACCACACAGCACACTGGGCTCAGCACCCACGGCAGGCTCGCCTAGAAGTGCTCGGCGAGGTTCCCGGGACCTGCGGGGAGGATCGGCCACAGATGAGGGCGTGGGGGACCCAGAGCCAGGACGGGCCGAGCCAGCGTGCGTTGGGCCCAGGTCCTGAGGATGCCGCTTCAGCCAGAGTCTATGGTATGTATGTGTGTGCACATGGCGTGTGCCTTTGGAGCCAAAGTTGTGCCTCAGAACGGTCCCAGCAGGAGGCATGGCAGCATCAGGGCTGCCCAGACACAGGGACCCTGGCACCCCCAGCTCCATCGGTCAGTGCCAAGGGGGAATAAGCGCCACTGCTGTTCGGGAGTAAAACAATTTACACGTTTCTTTCATAAATGCGGGGACATGGTGAACAGTCACAGAGCCGGTATTAATTTAGCAAAACTCCTTCAGAATTCCACTCTAACAGGTGTTTTTTAAAAGAAAATTTGACATCCCCCCAGGAACAGTTCAAAGCAACAACAGAGGAGCTTCTGGGTCCGGCCCCTCCGCTTTCTGGGGTGAATGCGCTGAGTGGGTACACTGCGCCCAGTGTTTAATAGAAGACACTGAAGCTTATTCATACACGTCATGTGTTTGCTCATGTCCTGCAGCTAAAGGAAATGAATCAGAATCGGACACTGATGCGGTCACACCGCAGAGCGAGAAGGAAAATCAGTCCACAACCCAGACGCCACTGTGGCCGATGTCGCACACTCAGGAGGCCCACGGTCCCTCACGGTTGGCGGTAACTGCCTGAGGGTGCGTGGCCACCGTCTGCTCTCCATCCGAGTTCCGACGCGGCTTAATTTCCGCGGCTTCAGCAGCGCGCCCCCTGGTCTCTCATCCTCGGGGAAGGCCCTCCACATGAGGGGAAGGAGGAGGCACCCTGAACCTGGACTCCACGCCCGAAGCTGCAGGGTCCGGGCCCCACCACACCGTCCTGGCCGGGGCAGCGCCGAGCGGGCCTCCTCCCCAGCAGGGACTGCAGACAGGACCAGTGGCGCCAGCGCCCAGGGCGGAGGGCCGAACAGCGAGGCGGTCCCTTCCTCTCAACCCGCTGGTGTGTGACCCGCTGTTCTGAGTGCCCGGCTCATGGACTCAACAGGACAGGAGACCAGACACGGCGGTTCAGTGAGCTGGCCCTGCAGACCATGAAGGTC